TCCTTGGGAACATTTGGGTACAACTGAGGTGCTGATGGTATAACATCCATTATATATACTAATGTACGACGCTTTTGGGAATGATATTGAGGAGCAGCCACATCATGACAACAGGGATTATGCCAACTGGAGAGCATTTAAGAAGATGTTTCCACATGCAGACCCTAGTAAGTTCGAAAGAAGGCCAGATGGGATTTACTTCAACGGCGAAAGAATGTACAGCAATGCGGACTTGGAGCCAAAGCATCCTAAGATTTTACRACCAAAACCCGAGCATAAAGAAAGGCAACCTAATTTTCCAGAGAATCTATTACCGACAACAGAGGATTACCCATTTTACGACATTTTTCGAAAGCGCTGTTATCGAGAATGAGATCTCTAAGTCAGTTCAAAGGTATCAACTTGCGGTGCAGCAATCTAAAGTGCGGCTAGATTATGCCTTGAGTCCTGGTTGTTGGTTAATGCCAAGTAATTTGGTCATCAACACTAATTCCGTCGTGGGTTATAACAACAAACTTCAACGAGCTACTAAGGATATGAAGTTTGGGGTGAATGACGTGAACTCTGATACTACCAAGGGCATTCCTCACTTCGTAGAGAAGCCAAAAAAGGAACACGAAGAAAAACCAAAAACGGAATACGTGAGACCAAAAAAGGTCCTGCCTACGATACCCGAGGAATATGACCATAACTTACTAAAAGCCGGCTTAACGGCCGCAAGCATTGGTCTGAGCTATTATATATGGCGATGAACAACCCCTACGTAGCTGGAGTAGATTGTGTCTATACGACTTACACAGGCGAGAAAGAATACACCCAAGCATCTTGGGTGGACGTCGCCGGGATGTCCGTAGATCTAAACTACTCGGGGAAGAAGCTAATCTTATGCAGTATTTCTTTGGGAGCCGTTAGTAATGCGAACGTAGGATTTCGTTTCTGCGACGACAATGGAGTATTACAGCCCATGCGCGCGAAGACGAACAACAGAGAGCCTACGCATTTCTCAGTACAGCCGCCAACGAATAGCTCTGAGAATCTTTCCGTTTGGACTTTTCACCTAGTTGCCGACTGCCACGGGAAAGTAAAGCTACAAATGCGCGTAGATGACTCCGGGAGCGTTTGCATAAATAGCATAGAAAATCAAAGGAATACTGTCTATAACCACATGACCATCAGCACTTTGACGATAATGAGCCTCTAGAAGCAAACTATGTTTGCTGAAATATATGAATCCATACGTGAGGGAAACGCGCTATACCCACCGCTTAGATGAAGAGGGATATGACAACGGCGCTTGGCATGACGTTGGACTGTGGGTTGAAGTTGGGGGCACTGCATTGGTCATTTGCACTATTAGCAT